GGAGTGGGTGTCAGGTGCCTTTATTTTATTTATTTTAAATATTAACGATATTTATTTATTTTATAAAAAATTAAATTAAAATCTTTAAATATTTAATTTTTAACATATTTTTTATTTTAAAGATTTTAATTCCAACATCTCCAACAACCATATTATATTTTTTCAAACACAACAATAAAAATCAAAATCTCTAAAAAGATTATGTTTAGTTCATATTTTATTTTAACACAATTCCAATATTAACTATAATATTAAAATATTAAATATATTTAATAAAATATTATTTTTTACTAAAATTCATTTTAAATACCTCATATTAAAATAATAATTTTTATCTTTTCTACGGATTTCTCTAAATTCATATATTTTTAAAATCTCTCATATTGCCTCTATTTTAGCATATAAGATAACATAATTGTTGAAATAAAAAAATTTGTTAAAAATTTTTAGTATAGCTGTTGAAGATGCTTAAACATTCAAGAAACTTGTCATTTTTTTTATTAACCTGTATATTCAAACCGTTATGTGGGCCGACTAATCATAGGACGACCACCTGCTTTACAGGTAGCCCGGAGTCACCACATTTGAACCTCTATGGTCATAAGGGGGTCTTTGTTCCTTCTTGGATTTGAACATGGGACCTCCAGACACTTTTGATTTTTTGAACAAAGTTTAAACCAATCAGACATCACTCTTATGATTAAAACTTATCATTTTAATATACTTTTTAAAATATATATATATATACATATATATATATATAAAATAATAATAAATCAACTTAAGTGTTGAAAAAATAATAATTTCTCTATCTATAGATAAAGTTTTACTTAAACTTTTTTTTAATTTTTTTTATTTTAAATAATAATATAAGAGAATTTGTTGAAATAAAATTATTATTTTTTATATTTTAAAAAATCTATTAGAGATATTCTTAATACTTTTGTTTTTTTTTTAATATTTAAGATTTTTAAATAAAATTATTTTTCATATGAGTTTTAATAATAATTAAATAAAAAACAAATATTTATTTGAAATAGAAAAGATAATAACATGGTATAAAAAAACTGGAAATTAGCGCAGTTAGATTAGATATGCGTGTTTGGTGTCTTAAAACTTGCAACCACAACTTTTGATATCAGTGAAAACTTTGCAGAGGTTTTTGGGGCAGAGTAAAAGAAATTATGAAAAAGGAAATTAAAAATCAAAATTTTTTATTGTTAAAAAAAAAAAACAATTGGTTAAAATTTAGATCAGTTTAGATGACATATTTGGTCCTTATGGTTTATATATTTTAACATGTATGTCTTCAAAATGAAATAATTAAAAAAAGGGTCTTGGGTTTGCATCTTTTAACGATCTGGGTCCTTGTTGTTAGTTTTGTTTTGTTTTGTTACCTCAGTTAACTCGAAGTATTTTGTTATTTTAGTTGTTTCCTTTAGTTTTTGATTATATATCTGGGGTAAGTTTAAACAATCAGGGAACCACCTATATAATAATGTATTATTGATGATAAATGTCGTAACAGATATTTACAGTTAATAATATTTAGGGTTGATGATCATGATAGTACATGAAATTGGTGGTACCATTCTCTAAAGATATTTGAGACACATCTCGATTTTAATGTTCTATTTTATTATTTGTCTCTGTCGATATTATAATACAAATTTATGTGTTTTTAATAAAGCAATATTGATTTTATTTTTAAATAACATATAAATTTGAAGACATCATAAAAAAAATATATCAATGTTAATATATAATCAACTATTTAAAAGTTCTCATTTTTTATTTTAATTTAATTAAGTTTAATAACGAAATATTTTTTTTAGTTTAATAATATAACATTTTATAAGGATAATAATTAAGTATTCTGTTAAAACTCAATGATTATCCTAATTATATTTTAGCTTTTTTATATTTAAAATGAGATGTTTATCTTATATTTGATTATGTTTATCTGTAGTTAGTTACGTGAATTTATATATGGAGCTTTAATATGTTGTACTTACGTACAATCTATTTGTAATATTGAGTTTTAAGTAATATGCATTAATAAACAATACTTTATGCATAAAAAATGGGTTTTAAGAGTTTTTGTCAAATACTTTATAATATAGTATAGATTATGTGTTTTTAAAGAGAACAATAATGATTTTATTTTTTGAATAAAATATAA